CTGCATTTTCTTAAGTTTCTACAGTGACCATGGCTGGTTTAATGAGGAAAATTTTTTTAAAGAGAAGCAAGTTCTGACCTGTCTCCTTAGAAGTGTGGATGTAGGCAGGGACTCTTGGGCCCAGCTCTCCTGGCCCACTTTGCTAAGTGACTGGGTGCTGGGGCAAGGACCGAAACTTCCTTCCACCAGGTCCAGAGTCTGGCAAACGGGGGCTTCACCCCCAGCCTCCTAGATCCCCAAAGTCCCCGACACCCTTTTGGAGCCCCTGAGTACTGTCCTGCAAGTTGGGTCCGCGTGAGTCCTATCCGCACCAGCAGAGGGCGCCGTTCCCTAATTTTCTCTGGGGCTGTGCCCCGCCGCGGGGTACCGCGCCCTCAGTTCTAGGTGAGTGAGGGACCAAGTCCCGCGCACCTAGATTTGTGTGGAGTCCCCCGAGGCGAGTCGCTCTGGGAAGGGGCCAGGCCTGGTCAGCTAGGGCAAGCCCATGACCCCCGACATAGTCCCGAGGGGCTGAAGCCTTTGGCCTGCGTCTCCAAGTGGCTGCAGCCAAGGGCATGGTGGGTGGAGGTTCACAATCTGGCGTTTGGGACCCGATGGACGAAACGTGTCAGGATGCCGGGGGTCAGATGACCTCAATGTCCCCCTCAGCCACGCACGGCGTCCAGGGAACGCGGCCCAGGGGCGCGCCCAGACCTGAACATGGCTGGACGCGCAGCTCATGCCTCTTCAGATCCCCACCTTTCCTTTGGTAGGAGGGCAGCCCCTCCCCAAATCCCATCAGGTCCCTGGAGCGCACCCCCAGGGAACACATGAGCGCAAGCAGGGTGAGGCTTTCTTTCAGGGACTTTACTCAAACACTGAAAGGTCGCAAGAAGAGAAGGCTGGGGGGTCCCGCGATGACGCACCCCTCGTTTAGCGATAGCTGGAGGCCAGCGCCCAAGTCACGTGGCTCAGAAACTTGTCCAGCGAGGCCTGCAGGGCGGGGCTGAAGTCTCCGGGGTAGTGCCGGGCGAGGGTGACCAGCAGGCAGTGGCCCAGCAGCTGCGGAGGATGGAGTCATCCCCACCGGGGTCCATCTTCCCCCCACACCCTCCCTGTGAACTCCGCCCCCCCAACCCCCCGCCTGGCGAGAGGGGCCAGCCCCCACCGCGCTTGCTCACCTTGAAGTTGACGGGGTTCACCTGCAGCTTGTGCGCGTGCAGGTCGCTCAGAGCGGACAGGGCGCGGGGCAGGTCGTCCAGGTGGTTCACGGCCAGGGTCAGCGCGTCAGCCACCTTCTGGCCGTGGGCTTTGACCTGGGCGGAGCCGGGCCTCAGGTCCAGGTGGGCGAAGTATGTCTTGGTGGAGGGGAAGGCCAGGAAGGTCCTTCGGGAGGAACGGCTAGTAGAGGTGCGCCCCTGGAGTCGGGGCTGGAGGGGGAGGGCCGCGGG